AGTCTTTGTACACTTTCTAAAATCCACACTGTGGTAAGATCGCACGCTAGTACCCTGCGTTATTTCTCAAATCCTGTCTGGTAAGAGCACCCAGGTAAAAACAGCTCACACAGACAGGAACAGGCTGAGATCAAAATCCATATGAGCAAGCGGCTGGCCAGAGGTCGCAGAGATAACTGGCATCAGTAAGCCGAACTGAGCAACCCCAAAAAAAAAGAACAAACGGCAAACCAAAGTCAAAACAACAAAACACAGTGGCAATGAAAAAGAGAGAGCGAGATGTAGAGATAGGGAGAAGAACAATCAGCTGCGTGTAGCCGGCATGTGCAAATAAAAAATAAAAACAAAAGCATGTGCAGGAGAACAGACAGATCAAACTTGCGACCTGACATCTAGAGTAGGTGGTGACATTGGTGAGGCTACCGCATAATTTTAAATGTTTAAAATGTTTTTTTTTTTTGTTTTTTTTTTGGTACTTCAGATTTATTGTTGCTGAGACCACTTACGTATGTAAGGTTGCTCATGAGGAACAGTCTCTGTAAATAGTGTACTAGTGTCACTTTGGAAAAATTGTGTTATATTCTATTCTAACCTTATTAAGCACATTTTTAATGTGAATGATTTTCCCTTTCTTTGAACACAGAAAAGATCATAATTGAGCAAACAAAGGAGATCATGACAAGGGCCAATGAAAAAATCCAAGCCACGAAGAACGCAGATGAAACCAAAATTGAGCTACACAATTACATTGTGTAAGTAATAATAAAATATGATTTAGCAAATTAACTAACTTTTAATAGCATCACTGTATTATTATGTGTAGGGAAGCTATTTCCAAGATGAATGAAAACAACCGTAAGAAGAAAACCATTGGGGTTTTGGGAGATTTAGGACAAGGAAAGACCTCATTGTTAAATGCAATCCTGGAGAAAAGAAATTTGCTGCCATCTGGTTGTTTTGGTGCCTGTACAGCCGTTATTACTCAAATTGAAGCAAATCTGACTGACTCGAACTACACAGCAGAGATTGAACTAATCTCTAAAGAGGTTTCAGTTTTATGGGCTTTTTGTTGTTGTTGTTTTTTTTGTTAAAAAGACCAACTGAAGTAAAGGGAATCAATTATTTTTCCTGTGTTGTGTGCTATACACTTCTACAGGATTGGGAGAGTCACCTCCAAAACATTTTTAGCGCTTTAAGTGCTGAGAGTAATGAAGAGAATGATAACTTCACTAATGATACTAGAGAAAAGATCGCTGCGCTGTATGGAGCTGATGCAAGAAGAAGAACGCTTGAGGATCTTAAAAATGATGACAAATTTGCTGAAATGACCAACCATTTGTCCTCCAGTAATGTAAGTTTTAGGAGGCCTAAGCATAATATGTTACATTTGAATATTTAAACATGCATATACACTTTCTGAATTTGTTTAGTGAATGCATAACTAAATCAATAATGTGCTTCTTTATCAGGCTTCTGACTTTACCAAAGAATTGAAACGATACATACAATATAGTGCTGGCACAAGTTCTGGTGGCTGGTTCTGGCCACTTGTGAAGAGTGTGAAAATCAAGATACCAAACTGTTGTGAACTCCTGGAACACATTGTGCTTCTTGATCTTCCTGGGACTGGAGACTGCAACAATATTAGAGATGACTTGTGGAAATCTGTAACTACAAATACTTAAACAACAACAACATTTAGAAACTTTTTAAAACTATTTAGTTATTTATTTTTTACAAAACAGTGGAATACTTCTGCTGAAGCAGTTTTACTTTGTTACTACATGTATTTCAGCTAAGTCTTTTTTTTAATGCCCTTTTTATTATATTTCTTATTCCACAGAAACTAAGAGACTGCTCTTCAGTATGGATTTTAAGTGATATCAATCGTGCTGTCAACAACAAAAATACCTGGGAGATATTAAAGTACTGCTCTAAAGACATGACACATGCAGGGGAATGCAGAGATATTCACTTTATCTGCACCAAGAGTGACAATATTGAGCCAGAAGAATATAATAGGTTAGAATTAGAAGCTCTGTGTCACAAGTTGCTTGTTGCTTGCAAATAAAATAGTTTGTGATTCTTTGGTTGATTGTTTTGTCATAAAGATAATATTCACCACCTATTCATCTCTCTCTCTCTCTCTCGCTCTCTCTCTCTCTCTCTCTCTCTCTCTCTCTCAATTCAGATAGCTTTATTGGCATGACAAAAGCACATTTTGCATTGCCAAAGAATGCATAGGAATAGAGAACATATACAACAGAAAGTAATTTGGAACAATATAGCAATTGAAATAACATTTGAACACACACATATATACACGCACACACACACACACATACACACACGTGTGTGTGTGTGTGTATATATACATATAAAGATATATACATGCATATATATATACTCACATATACGTCCATGTACATATGATAAATAGTAAAGATTTTGTAACAGGTTTCTCTCTCTCTCTCTCTCTCTTAGTACTCTGGAAGTCAAAATACCAGAAGACGAGGTTTGAATTTTTTATTTCTAGAATTTCTATTATGGGCATTGACAGTCCTGAACTTCTTAAAGGGGTCATATGATGCTATTTCAATTTTTCCTTTCTCTTTGGAGTGTTACAAGCTCTTGGTGCATAAAGAAGATCTGTAAAGTTGCAAAGACTAAAGTCTCAAATCCAAA